AGCCAGATGCTGTGGGCAATAAACTGGAAACGGTACGACATGGTTTCTGCTCATGCTCTAATTAGAGAAAAATTCAGAAATCTGAGAGTCCATTATCAAATGCTCAAAGCGTTTCTACCGATGCACTCGCCTCTCTTTTTAACCTCAGGGCTCTGGGATTATTAGGCTTTTTCCGTTGCTTCTATTTTGTCTCGAAGCAAAAGGCACACGGTCTCCTCTCTCCCAGGGCCCTTGTCAGCGCACGTGCTTTCCTCGCCTCTTACAGTGGCCCGACAGCGGCCCCCGAAGATGTCCACCTCCTAACCCGGAGCCGCTGCGTGTGTTAGTTTACATGTCCACAGTGACTTTGCGGATGTGATTTGGTGAAGGATTTTACCATGGGGAGATTACCTTGGGTTGTGTGGGTGGGTCTAATGTCATCACAAGAGCCATTCTATGGAGAGGCAGGAGGGACAGAGCCAGAGAAGGAAATGTGATAACAGAAGCAGAGGTTGGAGCGATGCAGGACCAGGAGCCAAGGGATGCAGGCAGCCTCTAGAAGCTGGAAAAGTCAAGGAAGGATTCTCCCCCCGGGGCTTCCAGAAGGAACCCAGCCCTACCAACCCATCTTCGACTTCTGACCTCCAGGACTGTAAGACAGTAAAATGGTGTTATTTTCAGCTGTTGAATTTGCAGTCATTTGCTACAGCACCAATAGGAAACTAGCACACAATCATGCCAGCCCTGGTCACTTGACCCCCATGTGTATCAGCCAAAGCTGATTTGAATGATGACACATTGTATTAAACTTGGGAGCATTTTTCTCTGCTATCTAAAAACCGGTTTTTCTGAATAGGACACCTAGCTTAGAACTTTCTTCCTATCTCTGTGTAACTTCCCTGCCCTCGTGGCACAGGAATCCTCTCTCTGAACTGATCTGGTCTTGGAAAGTCCCCTTTATTTGAGAAATTCAATCTTTGTTCCCTAAGAGGCCTTTCAGCCCAGATCTGCGTCATCATTTTTGTACCAAGGAGCTTAGTTACTGTGTAAGTGTAACCAGTCCTAGCCTCCTGACTGTCCTGTGGTGAATGCACAGATGGGTGGCTCCCCGCCCCAGCCCTCAGCTGTGCAGCGGGAGATGGGAGAAGAGAGAGTTCAGCCCAGGTCAGCACCAGCTGGCAAAGGCTTTCATTCCCAGCTGGACCTCAGAGAAGGATGTGTCTTCCTACATGGAGGAGGAGAATGTAAGCTTCTTTTTAATACAGCAAGCGTGAGTAGAGACCTGAAGGTAGAAATAAGAATGAGCATTGGGAGAAAGGTGGCCACAGTGAGGAGAGCAGCCTGGTTAAGCTGGAGCGTTTATGAGACATGGAATTAGTTAAGCGCACAGGGTCAGGTTCTGAAGGACCTTAACCGCCAGCCAAGGGATTAGCCTTGGTGTTAGAGCGCTGGGTGTCCTCATGTATTTAAAGTTGGGAAGTGATCTAATGCTTAGGTTTCCATAAATAACCAACCAAAAGCAAGAAGAAAAAAAATAGCCAGATATCTTACATTGCTCTTGGGCCTATTGCCTGGTTTATCTTGGACCCCAAACACATAGACATGTGCAGGCTTTCTCAGATTATTTATTTTGGTTTTAATGTACACAGTGGAGAACTCGATGTGAGCTTGGCTGGATGCTTCAGAGAAAAGGGCTGTGTTCTGCGTGCATCTGTTGATGCAACTGGTACCCAGACCATCTGTGGGTGGTTCCTGCCATTCTTAGCAGCCCTCCTCTCTTGGAGAAAGAAGGCTCCTACACTGAGTCATTGGGTGGCCACTGGATTTTATTTTAGGAATGTGTCCTCAGTGCTGCGGGCTTCCCACTCACTGTGCAGAAGAGGATGCCTTGTGAGGAGAGGAGCCCTGTTTGTCCAACAGCAGCGCGCTGCTCAGGCAACCTCTGCCTTTTGTCGCAGGCTGGATGAGGAAATGCTCAGCCTTTGATCTCTGAGGGCGAGAGAATCCGGGGAGGAGGCGAAGCAGCCTGTTCGGGCTTGAGTCCTTTATAGACTCGATCCACAGACATGAAAACACCCTTCCGTCCCTCCACATGAAGACGCGTGTGCATCACCATTGCAGCGTCGCAGGAGAACAGAATCAGGAAGCGTGAGAGCTAGAAGGGGCCTGCGAGTCCGACCCTGCTGGTCACCGAGCTCCCTTTACAGAAGTGCCAGTGAAGGGTCCCGCTGCTGCTTCCCGCTCGCTTCTGCTGGCGGAAGACCCACCACCCCACAGAGGTGTCTAATCCACAGCGCCCAGGAAGCTCACACACTGCTCACACACAGCACTTCCAGAGAGACCGGGTTATATGTCTAAAGTTCACTGAAAATCATGTTTGCAGACCCAGCAAATTCATATCTAAGAATTTACCTAAGGAAATAAATGAATCAATCAATGTCTAATATTCCTCTCAATGTCTAATAGTAAAGAAATTAAGTGAATTAAAAATCATGTTGTAGAATGATAAATATTATTACAGGAAACCAGTAATAGCTAACATTTTCAGCACTCAGTCTGCGCCTTTCCTGAGAGCTTTGCATGTGTTGTTTCATTCATCACTCACTCAGCTCTGCAGTGTTTCTGGTATGTGGGCATGTGAGCGGGTTTTGGAGGCCGGAAGGTTTGGGGATTCTGTGAACACGTTAGAGTTTATGCGGACCAGCTAGTGAAGTTTCCTCCCTCACATCCCTGGCGCTGGCTTCTGAATTGCTCTGCCTGCCCCCAGCTCTCTGCCTCCCTGGGGCTGAACAAAGCATCCCCCCAGTTTGCTTACCCCATGAGTGGGGTCAGTTACCTGTTACTCCCATCCTATCAAGACAGGCACCCTCGGGAGACGGGACATTTTAGGAGGGCTTTGAAGAAAGAGAAAAACAGCATTGGGTGAAGCTCTGAAGAAGGAAAATGGAATCCCATGAGTCTTTTTAATGTTTAATTGTTTTTGATGTTCTTTGAGAAGCCAAAAGCCCCTCCTTGTTTCTTGGACCTGTCGCCCCTAGGGAAGAGCTGCGCCGCCGTCTGTCTGGACACTGGACTGTGAACCAGGGCTCCTCCTTGGAGGTCCTAGCACGACTCTGCTGACTTCCCAGCTGTGCACGTAGCCTGTGACTGTCCTGGACCTTAGCTAGCAGCTCGGTGATTAGAGCCAGATCCAGGTCTCCCCGAGCTCCCAGCCGCACTGAACTCCTCCTACACAGGGGACAGCTTCATTCCAGGGAGTCTTTCTTATGCTGTTCTTGAAACTTGACCATTTTTTTTTAACAATCAAGAACACTTTCAATCATACAGAACTGGTTTCTTATTAAATGAAAGGAGGAAAGATACCAAGCGTGGTAGGTATTATACTTTAAGTTGATTACAAAAAGCATTTATTGAGGGTTAACCACTAGGCAATGGATAGAAAATCAATTACACGGTAGTTAAACATCCAATAATATGTGTTTTAATGAACAATTCATATTTAACACCTCTTAGGAAATAATGAGTGGTATTGGAGTTTGGGGTAGCTAAGCCGCAGGTGGGATTTCTGAGTTAATTCCTGAAGAGCCTGGCACCATTTTTTTTTAAATTGAAGTAGAGTTGATTTATAAATATTATGTTGGTTTCAGGAGTATCACTTACATGTGGAATCTGATGCCATGTTTTATCAAACAGCATTTTACAGCCTCGTGGTGAGTGAGGGCTGGTTCACTTCTGCTCAGGCACTGTGCTTCCTGACAGCTTAAATGACCACGCAGCTTCTAAGAGTCACCCATGTAGGCTGGGATCAGAGAGACCACTGATGTCAGGTTGGTCAGAAGGAGCGGGTCGTTGTTTTGGAGAGCTCGCTAAGATGACGCTGTGCCTCATGAGATTACATTTCCAGGTTTCCTTAGGTAACGTAGCGGCCACGGCATCCCAGTCCTGCATCGGCTGCCATGTGTCTCCCACGTGGTACATGAGAACCTGGCCCCGAGCGCTTCATCTTTCAGAGGTGTGGTGTGCACTGCGTGCCTGTTTAACTCAGCTCAGCTCCTCTCCGTGCTTTCCCGTCTCCCTACACTGTCCAGGCAGGTGTGGTTGCCAGAGAGAAAGAGGTCACCCAGGGTCGACACCTGCCGAGACGCCCACACCTCCAGCGTCCCTGGAAGCCGTTCCGGAACCCCTGGCTCTGCTTCGGCTCTGGGTTCTCTTACGTGCAGCTGCTGTTTCCAAAGTTCACAGTTTGTGCTCCTAGAGTCAGCCCATGGTAGAGTCCTCCAGTTTAGTCAATTCACAGATATCTTACAGAGTTACAGGAGAGGTGAAGGAGGGAGCAGGGGGTGGAGGACAAGAAGGAAACAGCAGTGTTCAGCTGGCAACTGAAAATGAGAACAAGTGAAGCAGGGAGAATACAAAGTGAGCATTTCACGGGCAGAGGACGGCGGAGGGGAAGGTGAGCTCACACGCGGGGACGCGCAGTGGGAAGAGGACCAGAGGAGCAGGTGAGCTACTGACTCCGACAGCACCGGCTTTGGTGGACGTTGTGAAGATCGCCAGCCCAAGCTGAGGGAGGAAGGGTGGTTGGCAGTTAGGATCCTGGGCTGCCGAGCCTGGCAGGCAGGATTTCTGGTTCTTCCTGCCAGTTGTTAGCCTTGTGGCCGGGATGTCATGTAACCCTTCGAGATGCAAGGCCTGCCATGCCCTAGTCACACAGTAAGCATTGTGGATGCACCATGTGTGGACCCGTCGACCCAATGTGGTTGTTTTGTCCAGATAAATTGCAAAACCCCATGTAGAACATTCAACGTATTGCCTGGTACATAACAACTATGACGTTAATAGTAACAATAATTATTGTTGCGTCCAGGAGTAAGTGGGATAGCCAAGCGTTTGATTCTCTGTAGCCACTGAATCTTAGTATCTAAGTGATGTTCTTCCTGTTGCTTTGTGAGCTCTTTTCATAGTGACTGGCATAAAACGTGTTCCCAAGATACGTTCAGTAAATGAATCAATTAGTCTGTAGAATTTTATGGTGGAAGTTCACCCTACTGAACATCCAGTCTAACCTGTAGGTTATATGGGCATGGCCTATAACTCCTTGTCTGACCATTTATCAATAACTAAAGCAGAACAGCATTGCATTCACGAGGAAGCTGAGGCCCAGAGCGGTTAGTTGGTTTGGGCTGGGTGACCCAGTGCATGGGGACCAAACCAGACTTACAGCCAGGCCTTGCAGCTCCCGGCGTGGTAGCATGTCACGTCAACCAGGTCCTCCCGCCCACGGGACAAGGGTGGCTGGCCAGTTGCAGAGCCTGGAGGCCACTGCCTGAGATGTGACTTCATTTTGCAGTTTCAGGGGCTTCACCATCATTTCAGGGGAAGAAATGCAACTTGAGTCTAAACTCTGGGTTTTTGTCCTCACAATGAGGGTTTGCGCCCCCCACCCCATTCGAGGCCTCGGGGTTCCTGGGTTCTGGGTCAGAATGCTTGGCGGTTCTGGTTAGGCTTCTTGACTCGATCTGCATTTCTAAAGCACCCGCCCAGGATCTGAGGTTTGGAGAGACTGCCGTCTAGCAGCTGTCAGCACACGTTGTGGGAAGGGTGGGTGCAGAGTGCCAGGGGTCAGATGAAAGAGGTCAGTGCCGTCTGGGGAGAAAGCGGCAGTTCTCCTTGGAGGGTGAGAAGATGGTGACTATGGGGGATGAGAAGTGAGACGGGGTGTGAGCACCTGCATCCAAGAAGCATTTGGTCTCATTTCCTCTTCCAGCCAGGTTTACTCCAGCCCGTTCCCTCAGGACTTCAATCCCGGGGACTCTTAGCAAAAGGCCTGACACATGACAGGTACTCAATATGTGTTTGATGAATGAATGAATGAATGACTCCCTGAATGAATAGAACTTTAGAGCTAAAAGGGACCTTAATGGACCACAAGTGATGAATATAACCAATATCATTGCAATCATTAATTCCAATAAAGCAGCTCTCAATAAAGCACTATAAAATGCAGAATTTATACTCATCAACACGCTTATTGTTGTCGCCATCAGGAGGGTGGCCTGCCTGGGATTTCCCTTCTCTTTTCCAACTGCCCAAAGGAGGTGGGAAGGCTGACATACAGCCCCGCGGGGGAAGGGAGCATCTATTGTGAATCTAATGCGGCTCTGAGGGTGGAGGCAGGTG